CGGCGGGAGCGCCGCCGCGCTTCCCAAGCAGCGCACTATCCAGTGCGCCACCGGGCCGGCCCAACTAAGGGAATTTTGATAGTTATATATAATATTATTTATCCTAATCATTCAGAGGTCATGCTTACAGATTTTAGAAAGTTAGAAATGTATGGAAATAATAATTAGGTCAGCAAACTGTCCACCAACCAAACATGTCTTGACCATATTGCCTTCTTAAAAAGCAGCCTTTATTCTACACAAACATTTACTACTGGAATGGTTAAATAGCTCTCCGTTACTTTAAGAAGAAATTAGAATAATAATTCCTAGAAGAGCGAAGAGGAGGAGGATTAAACAGTAGTACTCAATGGGGGTGCCAAGCACTGTTCTCATTCCTTTATGTATATGAACTCATTTTCAGCTTGTGCATTTCTATGATATAGGAACTGTTAGTATTCCTATTTTATAGATGAGGAAACTGAGGCACACAGGTTAAGTGACTTGTGTAAAGTGACAGCTAATAAGAGTCACAATGGGATTTGAACCTAGCAGTCTGGTTCCACAATCTAGGTCCTAAATCACTATGCTGTATTGTCTCTGTAAGAAGATGAAACAAAAGTAAGGTAAAATTCGTATAATTTAACCTCATTGTCAGCTATTTTTAATGCTACCGTTGAGGTTGTTTTTAAAGTTTTGTTATTACTGGTTATTTTTTGGCTGCTTTCTTACCAGATACACCTGGTTGAAATTTTCCAAGCATGCAGTTGAAGGAGATTTTTATGTTTTCAAACACTAAAGAACCTCAGTAAGAATTGAATTATTTGTGTGCCAAAAAAAAAAAAAAAAATTACTGAGATACTTACAGATGTAATCAAATCAGAGAAATAAAATGTTTACGTTTGTAATTTTTCCTTCTGATACCTCGAACTTATAGCTACCTTAGAATGATACCTAGATAAATTTTCACCTTTAGAAATGTCTCATTATTTTAGGATCTGCACAGAGTTTCAATGTTCTTATAAATGTTTTCCTGTTAACCAGGTGCTTCCGAGCCACAACTCTTGGTCACTGTAGTGATATATCTTAGATACTTCAGTGTATTGCTCCCTCTCTTAGCTACGCTTAAGCTACGGCTTTAGCTTTCTCATTATGTTTCACTCCTTTTCACCATCATATCAGTGTTGTGACGTAACACTGAGCAACATGAGAGATGATAGAGATTTTGATTTGAATTGAAGTAGAAATAAGTGAAGACAACTACTCTTTGTCTTCATACATTTTAATTCAGGTGTTTCTGCTGTAACCATGCAACCTCCTGTGGTAAATATGACTGACTGCTCTTTTTTCTTATACTCTTTTAAGCAAAGTAAAGCAGCGGTTCGGCTGAAAGAAGACATGAAAAAGATAGTGGCAGTGCCACTAAATGAGCAGAGAGATTCCGCCTGTAAAAAGGTATTTGGAGTCAGTCTCCAGGAACTTCAGCAACAGGGGCTCACTGTGAATGGCATTCCAGCTATAGTGTGGGACATAGTGGAGTACTTGACGCAGCATGGTAGGTCAAGTCATGTTTTAGTTCTGTTTGTTTGTACAGTTCTTTGCACAAAGGGGGTATGTTTTTGTGTGAAATATTTCATAATGCATGATTAGAATATTCTCTAAAGCACCTTAATTAGAATATCAACATATTAGTTGGATTCATCCTGATTATTTAAATATTTAAAAATATTATAAATTATTAATAAGAAAAAAGAATATCAAAATAAGGTGTAATATACTTTTTCTTAAAAAAAAAAGGACATTATTGCTTAACATTATTTTAACAATACTAACCAGGTCCAAAGATGACAAATGATATTTTGTTCTGAAACCTGAAGAACCAGGCTTCTGCTCTTACCTTGTAGGAGTTATCTCCTCATTTTTAAAGGAAGATAAGCTGCCCAAGGGCCAGATTCTTAGAAAACAGCTCTGGTTTTGTTCAAATACTTCAAATAGTTCTACACAAAAGATGTTATACACAGCATGACAGACAGGTGGGACCTTACATACAAAATCTTGAAGCCAGGTATTAAGTTAGAGCTTGGATAGGACTCATTTATACACTCAGTATTGAGTAAAACTGCATCCCACTGACTTAGACACAAATTGATCACTAGGTAATTCATTTAATCTGTTAAATAGGGATGTTCAGTATTGTTCATTTGTATACCTAACTATGACTACTTAAAACAATATTTTGGTTTTAGCATAATCAGTGTTCTTCTCCCCAACATTGATTCAGTGTATCATGTAAAATTATTTTACATTTTAATTTTTTTTTAGATCATGTATATATTTTTGAATAATTAATAAACTCATGTGGTTAAAAATTTAGGAGAGTATACAGTGAAAAGTCTGTCCCTCAAACCTTGTCTCCTGACCTTCATTTCTCCTCCCCAGAACAATATTACTATACTAGATTCTGGTATCTTCTTACAAAGACATTTCAAGCATATATAAGCATACGTGTATGTGTTCTTTTTTCCCTTTTAACACAAATATAGCACACCACACGCACTGTTCTGAATCTTCTTTAAAAAAATCACTTTCTAGTATATTTTGGAGATTGTTCCATTTGACATAAAGAGCTTTTACCCATTTTTAATTATTTTCTTTTCCTCTGCACACTGTTTCACTGTATGTATGTATCATTTCTTTGATCAGTCCCATATAGATGGGCATTGAATTGTTTCCAGTCTTTCTGTTTACAAACAATAATTCCGTGACTAACCTTTAACATATGACATTTCAAGCACATGTGAGTATATCTGTAGACTAACTTTTTAGAAGTGGACTGCTGGGTCGAAAGATATGTGCATTTGTAATCAACTCTATAGTATTTCAACCAATTTACATTCACACCATCAATGTACAGGAAATTTGGCAAAATTAGAATTAATGATTGTTTTCTTCTACCCCTTCCTTAGCATACTGTTAGTTATACTTTAATGGGGTATATTCAGGTAATGCAAATTAAATGTGTTAGTAGGCTAAATCAGTCATTCTTCATTAGGGATGTGAAGTGGAATCACTAGTGGAGTCTTTTCCAGATACGCATGTATTGGCAGCAACCCATATGTACTGAATTGGAATCTTGGCTGGACAAGATGAGGTAGAGCCTGGCACGTATATTTTAAAAGGCTGTCTAGTTAATTACTGTGCAGATAATCAGATATCCCTTATTGTCTTTAAAACTATCATGCTAATAAACCAAAGAACCTGTGTAAGTTTGAAGAATGTTATAAAATTTTAGGGTAAGATCCTTCAATTTGCTTTATTTAATTATTTTGTAGTTTTTTCAGGTCAGCAAATATTTATTGTATACCTGTGATACAGTAGGCAGTCTGTCAAGTATGGGAAAATAGGGGTGCTGGGTCATATAATTTAATTACAGGTAGATATTTTGGCCATACTTTGTTGTTGTTTTATGTAAATGCAGACATTTAACACCTTGACATGAGGGAAAACTCAATGATAAAGGAATTTTAGGACAGAAAGAGTTTATCAAGGCCTCTAAACAGGCTTTGTACTTTTTCCTTTAAAAAGTGTATTTTATAACTTATAAGGCATATTACATTTAAACTGTTTTAAAATAACTAATGTTGTTGACAGTGTTAATGGATTCCTTCTCTTAATTTTAGGGTGAAGGTACTATGGATTATGTTGTTTTAAATAGTGTAGGGTTGTCTAGTCACCACCAGATGTCAGAATGCTCTTACATATTGTCCTACTACTTCCTTAGGCAAAGTGTACTATTAGGCAAATTGTGACTTCTTGCATATTTAGTTTCTAAAGATATACAAATATTGCTTTGAAATAAATATTACAGTTGTACAAAAAAGTGCTGTGAATGGTGTAGACACTAACTTCTATAATGGTTCTTTCATTTCTAAACTACTGTTAAGTTGCTGTGTCATGATAATTAGCCCATATCTCCTGAAATCAAATGTAACAGGATCTCTGAAATTTATGAGAATGATTCTATTTTATGAAACATTCTAAATATCTCTTTCTTCTGAACATTTCTATTATAGCCATAACTTCCTAAAATTTTGTAGTAGGAAAATTAAAAGACTATATAGTCACATAAGCCTCATATCAGTACTGAATGTATGATAGCCTTATAAAAGGTTTTTAAAAACTGTATGGATTCTTTTTCCCAGAATGTGATATATCCACATCCAGGAGTAAACTTCCCATGACTGAAAATCACTAAATTATCGTAAGAGTTGTTTTGGGTGGGAGATATTCCTGAGGGAAGACAGTTGTTTGAATAAATAGGATGGATGAGCAGTAACTTCAGTGACTTCCATTTATACCTTATCTCTTTGCTGTCATGGTCCAGTGGGACCAGGAGCTTTGAGGACCACAGACAGGTCTTGGAGCTGGGTTATTTTAGAATTGCTGGAAGTATATTTATTTGGGGGAAGGTTCAAAAAAACCTTGTTGGAAGAAAAAACCTAAGGTCAAAGCTAGAAAAACAGCACGTGAAAGCAGATCCAAGGAGCATTGGCTGGGCCAAAAACAGAAGGCAAGGTTAGGCCAAGGAGCTAGATAAACACAGGCTCAGGACACATAATTCTAGATTTTCGGGATTTGGGCCTTGACTAGGGATTGGTTGTTCTTTAATTGGATGCTATCTGCTTGATGCCTGGACCTGTTTCTGAAGTTAAAGATGAACCTTTGTAGAATAGAGGAAACTTACGTTGAAGGCTTTTAATGACTAAGCTGAAATCTCCCAATAGTACCTGATATCCTGAAGAACTTAAGAAAAAGGCATATCAGTATTAGTTATCCATTGCACAACAAATTACCCACAAAATAGTAGATTAAAACAATACTATTTATTATCATCTCAGTTTCTGTGGGTCAGGAATCTGAGCACAGCTTTGTTGTGTCCTCTGTCTTAGGGTCTCTTACAAAGCTGAGATCATGGTGTCGGCCAAGGCTACAGTCACATCAGGACTCAACAGGATAAAGAGTGCCTCCCAGACACATTCATGTGGTTGTTGGCAGGACTCAGTTACTTGTAGACTGTTGACTTGAGGGTCTCAGTTACTCACTGGTTGTTGACCAAGACCACCCTTACTTAGTTCCTTGCCCCATGAGCCTTTCCATAGGACAGCTAATAAATAGCAGCTGCATCATCAGAGTGAGCAAGCCAGAGAGAGAGAGAGAAAACAAAACAAGCAAGATGGATTGCCACAGTCTTTTAAAACCTAATCTCAAACATCACATCACATTTGCAATATTCTGTGGTTAGAAGCAAGTCACTGGGTCCAGCTCACTCAAGTGGAGGGGATTGTATATGGGTGTGCTACCAAGAGGTGGGGATCATGGGGACTATTTCAGAAGCTTTCTACCACACATAAGAACTGGTGTCTCTTCTGATTAGATGGTGCCCTGGCCATAGTGGTTGTTAAATATTTGTTTTTTTTTTAAGGTGTCTTTTGGATTTTTGCCATCCTAACTGGGGTGAGATGGTATCTCAGTGTGGTTTTGATTTGCATTTCCTGGATGCTGAGTGATGTTGAGCATTTTTTCATATGACTGTTGGCCATTTGCATATCTTCTTTAGAGAAATGCTTACTTAGTTCTTTTGCCCATTTTTTGATTGGGTTGCTTGTTTTTTTCTTGTAAAGTTGTTTGAGTTCTTTATATATTCTGGATATTAGTCCTTTGTCGGATGTGTATTTTGCAAATATTTTCTCCCACTCTGTTGGTTGTCTTTTAGCTCTGTTAATTGTTTCTTTTGCTGTGCAGAAGCTTTTTAGTTTGTTATAGTCCCATTTGTTTATTTTTCCTTTGGTTGCCTGTGCTTTTGGGGTCATATTCATGAAGTCTGTGCCCAGCCCTATTTGCTGAAGGGTTTCTCCTATGTTTTCTTTAATAAGTTTTATTGTTTCGGGGTGTATATTTAAATCCTTGATCCATTTTGAGTTGATTTTAGTATATGGTGAGAGGTATGGGTCTAGTTTCAATCTCCTGCATATGGATATCCAGTTATCCCAGCACCCTTTGCTGAAGAGGGAGTCCCGACCCCAGTGAATAGACTTGATGCCTTTGCTGAAGATCAAATGGCAGTGAGTGCGTGGGTTGATTTCTGGGTATTCTATTCTATTCCATTGATCAGTGTCTCTGTTTTTATACCAGTACCATGCTGTTTTGGTTATTATGGCTTTGTAGTATAGTTTAAAGTCAGGTAGAGTAATACCTTCAGCTTTATTTTTTTTTGCTCAGCGTTGCTTTGGCTATTCTTGGTCTTTTGTTATTCCAGATAAATGACTGTATAGTTCTTTCCATTTCTGAGAGAAATGTCGTAGGAATTTTGATGGGGATTGCATTGAATTTGTATATTACTTTGGGTAGTATAGTCATTTTCACTATATTGATTCTTCCAATCCAGGAGCATGGGATGTCTTTCCATCTTCTTGTATCCTCTCTAATTTCTCTCAGGAGTGGTTTATAGTTCTCGTTATAGAGATTTTTCACATCCTTAGTTAGTTCAATTCCTAGGTATTTTATTTTTTTGGTGGTTATTGTGAATGGGCAGGCTTTCTTGATTTCTCTTTCTGCTTGTTCACTATTGGTGAATAGAAATGCTACTGATTTTTGTGTGTTGATTTTGTATCCTGCTACTGTGAATATTTGAATATCATCCCTATTTCCACAGATTTTGTCAGAATTGGAGCTAAAATTCATGTCAGTTTTTTTTTTTTTTTTGATGTCTGGCCAGTATGGGGATTCAGCTTTTGATACTGATATTTTTTTACAGCCAAGTAATATGTATGGAAGAACACAAACATCTTACCAGATTGCAAATCCCATAAGGGTAAAGATAGTGTTTGAATTTTTTTCTCCTGTTTTTTTTGTTTTTTTTTTTAAACATGCTGCCAGGCTCTCACTAAATATTTGTTGAATTTAAGGGCTCATAAAGTATCTTATCAAATTATAAATTAAAATGAAATTAGCTTCCTCTTTGCTTTAAAAAGAGCAATACAATTATTAGGGAAGAGAAAGAAGCAAAGGCCAGTATAATCATCTCTCCTCTGAACAATTCTGATACGCTTCAATGCTTAGGTCATTGCTAACATTCACCATTAGACTTTTAAAAGAAGAGTGTGGAGTTAAGTCCTTGGCCTATTCTTTCTTAGAAGGTGGTTTGTACAACTTTAGCAGTCCTCCACTGTGTGACACATTTGCTTATACCGAGCTGGGAATCATTATCTTCTATCAGAAACCAGCTATTCTCCCCACCCCTCACCTTATTTCCTGGATTCCTGCTTTTCAACCCTTAAGGTTATCTTTTAACCCATCCTTTCTTTCTTACTTCCCTTTCAAACTCAGTTACCAAATCATCTTTATTCTCTTTTTCACTTATTGCCCTACAATAGAATGTAGTCTCCCTAAGGCAAGTTCTCTGCCTCTCCATTCTCTACCTTGTAGCTAGCTAAATCTTCCTTAAACTCTCATTATACCACGTCTTTTCTGCCACTTGATGCTGCAATGATAAAGTCTTCACTTTTAACTTGTCCTTCATAGACCCTGTCTCATAGCTTCCATTTGATCACCCCATCGCTCTGTGACCTAAACTCCCCATGTTTTCATCTGCCTACCTTTCTTTATGCTATCCTGTCTCTACTTCTCAATTCATATTTTTATTCTTCTTTGTCAGGGGTAGATCAAGGTTTTGTGGGTCCTGATGCCTAATCCTTCTGAGATCTCTTTAAGAAAAAGAATACAACCTTAATACAGATGTAGGGACAGAGCTTAGAAAGGGCTCAAGAAGGTGAGGGGCCCCAGAGCATAAGCTCCATCAATTTCACAGTTACGTCAGCCCCTGCCTTTCCATTTTACCTGTGCTATAGCCAAAGTTTAAGATTTACCTCCTCCAGGCGGCCTTCCCTAACCTCAGCAACACTGATATCCCTCATCAAATGACTGAAGGCAAGGACTTGTCTTATACCACTTTATAGTCTCCTAGAGTCTTTCACTTTGGATTTAGTGATTACTAAAGAAAAACTGCTTATTTCTTATTTAAGTTATCAAGAAAGTGATTTGCATATAGTTCAGAAGTTTCTTTCATACGTGTCATTTTTCTAAATAATTGTTCAGAAATGCTAAGCTGCTATTAGAACCCTGGCTGAGTAAGTTTCTGTTATGTAATGTATAAGATTATATAAATGAAATTTCTTTATGTTGTGTTGTATGTTCTGTGTTTATATTTGGCATAGCCTTATTTTTAGAGGTCAGCCTTTATAACAATAATATATGATCTATTTTGTTGATATGTAGTAGATATGAAAATTTATTATGCTAAGAAAATATTTTTATAAAATGCAAAAATCTTCTAGTGATAATTACAGCAGTCAGAGTCTCCTATGCTGAGATTTATTTATTTACATTGTTATTGTTATTTAGACTTTGTATTTGTTTGCAAGAAACCTCTATTTATTTTCTGTGTCTACTTTGCTGTTCCAGGACTTACCCAAGAAGGTCTTTTTCGAGTGAATGGCAACGTGAAGGTGGTGGAACAGCTTCGACTGAAGTTCGAGAGTGGAGGGCCCATGGAGCTCGGGAAAGATGGTGACATCTGCTCAGCAGCCAGTCTGCTGAAGCTCTTCCTGAGGGAGCTGCCAGACAGCGTGATCACCTCAGCACTACACCCTCGATTCATTCAGCTGTTTCAGGGTTAGTACAGTAAACCCTTTCAGGAGTTAAAGCAATTTTATTTTTCAGTAAAAACTAAGCTTTAAAATATTTAAGATTAAAATAGTAAAATAAGCTTTTATTTATTTATTTATTTTTTATTTATTTATTTTTTTGTCTTTTTTTGTGTCCGGCAACGGATCGCAACCCTCAGTGTCGCGCCCGTACCGGACCGGGACTGGCAACGGGATCGCAACCCTCGGTGTTGCTCCCACACCTCGCTCAGCCAGTGAGCGGGAACCGGTCTGTATGTGGGATCCGAACCCTCGGCGGGAGCGCCGCCCCACTCCCAAGCGGCACACTGTAGCAGTGCGCCACCGGGCCGGCCCATAAAATAAGCTTTCAAATGCCTGTGGTCTTTCCATTCTACCACCTTGCTACTTTACTCCAGGTCCTCATCTCCTAGTTAAAATAATATCAAACTGACTACGAAATACCATTCTTAAATGGAAGTTCTGACATCATTGGTACATGAATATTTCAGTAACATAATATTGAAAACCCCTGCTGCTTTTGGTTCAAAGAAATTATTTTCTGACTAGTGACTGCCATCTAAGGAATTAGAATAAGAATAATTTAGAAAGTATTAGAGAATAATTAAAGAATAATTTAGAAAATATAACTTAAATTGTAGTTGGTTAGTGACCTTTTAGACTGAAAGCTCACTGGTGAGCTTGCTTTTTCTCGTAATCAAGATTGAATCCTAAAATAACTGTGTTCATTTTGTGAGGTAGAAATTTTTGATTATAGTATGAGGTGATTTTATATGAAGTCCTTTTATAAGTGTAATAATTATAGGCATACTCATTATTAAGTTCTCCCTCCTGAATACAGTAAGAAAACTGATTTACTTTTGAAAACCACTCCCCCCCCTTATTTTTGCCAAGTTAGAGTGGAAAAGGGAAAATGTATTTCTAAGAGCATTCGTTGGCAGATTAAGAAGGATGCTACTTAAAGCCACGTTTCTTTACAGAAGGGGTGTAACTATTCACATATAGTATACTAAAGAATGGGATAAGTGAAAGGCTAGATAGGATGAGTAAGAAGGTGCCAGAAATATTTTACCCCGTAATAGGTCATTTCCAAATATTAGGTAACAGGTTGTGTTGGGAGACTGCACTAACCACCCCACCTACTTATCTGCTAGGGAGGGAGACCCATTGGTATCTCCCCAAGGCCCCCGTGTCAGCCATGTCTCCTCACCTGACCTTCTTGCTCCTCCACACTGGCTTCCAGGGGCGACCTCTCGAAAGATTACCTATGCTTGCTCCTTTCCTCAGAGTTCCCACATGGTCCTCAGGAAACACATGCACATCTTTGCCAAGTCCTTAAAATGGAAGTCAGTCCCAGGGCAGAGCCCTGCCTCTTCATGCTGCCTCCTGAAGCACCTACCCCTCGCCAGCCTGTCTGCGTTAGATTCTCTCAGATGTCTCAGACTTTTTCAGGAGTTTGTGATTCTTCAGGGTCCCCAAGTGGTTATCTCTCTAACAACTCTCTAACAAGTAAGAGAAATTCTCACTTTCTAATCTTCAAATTTTAATTTACAAGTTTCTGCTTAAATACCCTTGAGGTAGGTGATGGCCCAAGGCTTACCAGACCTGTTTTTGGCCTCACCTTAACAAGTTCTACAGAGCTGATCTAGCACCTGTCCTTAGAGTGGGTGGGCCTATCACAGCCTTCTGAGGGCGGGCCTTGGCCCAAGAGTGATTGCATTAGTTTGCTAGGTCTGCCATAACAAAATGCCACAGACTGGATGCCTTAAACAACAAACATTTATTTTCTCACTGCCCTAGAGGCTGGAAGTCTAATATCAAGGTGCGGGCAGCGTTGGTTTCTGGTGATGTCTCTCATCTTGGCTTGCAGATGACCACTTTCTCACTGTATCCTCACATGGCCTTTCCTCTGTATGCATACTCTCCAGACGTCTCTTCTTATAAGGACACCAGTCCTATAAGATTAAAGTCCCACTCTTATGACCTCATTTAACCTTAATTACCTCATTAAAGGTCCCAAATACAGTCACATTCTGAGGTACTAGAGGTTGGAGTTTTAGCATATGAATTTGGAGGTGGGGGAACATAATCAGTCCATAACAATGATACAACAGGAAAAAATCCTGAAAGTTTTAAAATAATTATTTTAAAATAAGTATTTAAAATAATTATTTTGTTTGTAATCTTATTTAGCCACTTCATTTTTGGGGAAAAAAAGATTATATATTTTTAAAAGGCACGATATAATCATAGACAAAATTATTCAATATGTTGTATTCTATAGAAAACAGTTATAAATATGAAAGCAAAAATGGCAGAACAATTCTTGTCTGCAGTGCTTTTCAGCTTTCTATGTCAATAAATGACATTTGGTAAGTGACATTTATTTGAGACTTGTTAATTGGAAACTGAACTTTTTCATGCATGAACTCCTTCATGTTTATGTGTATGAGAATTTCAAGGAGGGAGGTAAGCATTGCTCCTATATGGAGACTTTAAATCGTTCTTACCAGTAATATTTTATCTATGTCATAGGGATGTGAAGTTTTGAGATAAATTTTTGAAAATCATTTTTAAATAATTGGTATAAAAGCTAGTGAAGATTAAATATTGTATGCTTAATACATAGATCAATGGTGGCTCTCTGTGTGGGAGAAAACTGTTTAGATTCATTTGCTTTTATAACAGATCAACAACTTTGGACTTGTCTGGTGTCTGAAGCTCAGAAATTGTACTGTTCTTAGTTAACAAATCAATATATACCCACATATCCAAGATTTCTATCTGTGTTTAATTTCTGACAGAACCTTTTGCCTCTGTCAGAGGCCTGGTTTAGACAATTCACATTTAAGAGAGAGACTCTAAAGGACCTTCAGTGATCGTCCATTCCTGTTGTCATGTTAGACTTGTCTCTGACTGCATCAACTTGCTTTCCTTAATTGAGGTTTCCAGTATAATTATCTCAGCTTGGCATAATCTGTGGCTTTTGATCTTTTATCCTTACTTTGATAGGTCATTAGTATATGCACTTTTATATTTATAATCTCAGGTGTGTTTTGGAAATAGGTATGACTTGTAAACAAATAAAAAGATTGAAGGATAGGATTCATTTAATTTAGGATTAACTAGAACTCCCTTTACTTGAATGATCCCTATTGAAAATAATGTAAGTGTAAATATTTATATCTCATAATTGAATATTTTTATTGTTATTTGATGACTTGGAATTGGATTGGTCCATCAGTGATTTTTTTAGTACCTTCTACATAGACACTGAATGATAGAAATAAAAGATTAAACATCTTAACTTCAAGGAGTATGCAGTTTAGTTGAGGAAGTGGAATGTATGTTGTATATATTCTACAGTTCTTCAAATGAATAAGAACATCTAGTCAGTTGTAACTAACAAGGAGAGAAGAAAATCAATGTGGACTATGTTGTTCAGAAAACACTTTATGGAAAAAGTAAGTTTGGGGTATATAAGATTAACTTGGATGGAGAGAAGAATCTTTTTTTTTTTTTTTTTTGGTCTTTTTTCGTGTCCGGCAACGGGATCGCAACCCTCGGTGTTGCCCCCGCACCTTGCTCAGCCAGTGAGCGGGAACCGGTCTGTATGTGGGATCCGAACCCTCGGCGGGAGCGCCGCCACGCTCCCAAGCGGCGCACTGTAGCAGTGCGCCATCGGGCCGGCCCCGAGAGAAGAATCTTTTTTTTTTTTTTTGGTCTTTTTTCGGGTCCGGCAACGGGATCGCAACCCTCGGGGTTGCCCCCGCACCTTGCTCAGCCAGTGAGCGGGAACCGGTCTGTATGTGGGATCCGAACCCTCGGCGGGAGCGCCGCCACGCTCCCAAGCGGCGCACTGTAGCAGTGCGCCATCGGGCCGGCCCCGAGAGAAGAATCTTTTAGGTGAGGAAAGGGCATGAGCAAAAACATGGTGAGACAGAATTATCTGACAGAGCTATCCATAGCTAAGGGAGATTAGCAAAAGATATGATTGAAAAAGTAGGTTGAGACCAGGTGGTATAGGGTCTTGAATATTAGTCTAAGGAATTAATATTTATCTATAAATAAATTTTTTTAAGAAAAATGTCACATGGTGGAAGTAGTATTTTAAGCAGTGCTGTGTAAGGTGATTAGATGGGAAGATGCTGGGTGCAGAGAGAAAATCTAGAAGACTAACAGATATCTAGGTCATGGTCCTAAGGACCTTTATGAGTTAAATGGTTGGCAATGGAATTTTTTAAAATTATAAAATATATAACATAAAATTTACTATTTTAGCCATTTTTTAAAAGTTTTATTTATTAATTTTTTTTACATTCTAAGATGTTGCAGAGCAGTTGGGGGAGAGAGGGATAAGGGAAGGGGAAAGGACATAGGGTGGGAGAGAGAGGCGAGAGGGGGGGCATGGTTGAGGCACATGGCTCCCCCCTCATTCCTGTAGGGGAGACCAGGGGACTTCCAGTGGTGGCTTGGTCATTGCTGGGCTGGATGCAGATGTCAGGGGGATGTGGCTGAAGCCCTCGGCCCCCAACTGCCCTGGCTTGGGAGCCCAGGATGCTTCCTGCAGTGGCTCCGTGGTCATTGCTGGGCTGGTTGCAGGTGTTGGAGTGTGTGGCTGAGGCTGCTGGCCACCCCTCCTCCCTTCTTGGGAGCCCAGGAGACTTCCAGTCCTAATAGGTTTTATAGGGGCTTCTGGTCCTTCTAGGTATTATAGGTGTTCTTTGGTGATGTGAGACCTTTACTAGTTAATATAAAACTTTGTCTCTGGTCTGTGGATATTTTGTTTTTTCTTTCAGTTCTGTGTTGGATTATTTGCTGTTCCCACCACTTAAACTGTGCACTGGAACTAATTTGTTGTCCTTTGCTTACTTCTAAAACGGGGGAACTTCCTGTGGGGACCAGTACTTGAGCTCTGTAGTTTAGCTAAATTGCTGCTTTGCTGCTTATTCCCTGGGGAAGGCTTTTTGTGCAGCTCAGGTTTTAATG